GGATAGGGGAGGGGCGGGGCCCGGGGCGGGGCCCGAGGCGAGGCGGAGCGCAGCTGGCCTGGGGAAGGGCCAGACTGGGGTTCAGGGCTGGACTGGGGCTGGAGGGAGGGAAAGTGCCTGTGTCCTGGAAGGGCCAGACTTCCTGTTGCCTTTTCTGCGGTTTACTTAATGGTCAATTACCATCTCATGATCCCACCCGTGACCAGTTCGCCTTTTGCGGGTTTTGTAGGATTGCTTGATAGAGTATAGGATTGTCAGTGAAGCTGGAATTTTAGAGAAGTGAGGAAGGGCGTTTAGTACTATATAAATACTAAGGTCCAACCGTGTGGGATGTTCTTAGAGTGAAACTGTATTCATTGTTCCTCTGAACTGCGGGAGGAGGTGACTCCCTGTTCATGGGGTCCCTGGGGGCTGGGCCCACAGGCGTCCATGTGCTGCTGGCCACCCCTCCACACTGGCATGACGCTGAGTATTCATGTCCCTTGACAATTAGAGAAATTGGGCTCAGACAAGAAAAGGGCCAGCTCGAGGGCCTCGGCACGTGGCAGAGCTGGGTCTCAGCCTGCCTGTCCCCCGACTTCTCCTGGGGGCTGGACAGCGCGGCACCTCAGCTCCTGTTCCAAAGCCATGTTCACCCAGCGCCCCTGCTGCCCATGGTGGCCCATGTGGTCCTTCCCCAGAGGGGGCAGTGCGGCTTCTCTCTCTCCAGGACCCAGACACGTGGGTCCCCTGATCCTCGTGGGGAGGGCGTCAAGTCTCAATCATGACCTCTCAGTGGGGTCTGTAAAGGGCCCACTGCAGGGCTGAGCCTGGGAGAGGCAAGTCGGACTCCCCACCCACAGGGCATGAACTCAGGAGGGTTAGGGGCCAGTGGCCAGGGACAAAGGGGCCATCTGTAGCAGATGGGGTGTGGCCTCACTGCGGACTTGAACAGTAACTCATGAAGGGTGGCTGCCGGCTGCCAGGGCTTGGAGGAGGCCCTGAAGCTCTGAAGGTCCAGGCCCCAGAGCTGCCTGGAAGCTTCTTCTGTACAAGAGCTCCCACGCACTTGGGTGGAGGGCAGACTCGGGGTTGGCGGGGAGAGACGGTGGTCAGACCAACCTACTCCACAGCCTCTGGAGCCTCCCAGGTCGGCCGTCAGCCTCCCTGGGCTGGGCTCCCCCAGAGATGGAGGTCATAGAGCCTTCCTCCCTGGACTGTTCTTGGGACTGTCCAGGTAAATGGACGCTGTTATCAGTTATCAGACTGGGGCAGGGGCCGCAGCCTGGACCCCAGGGTCATGTGTGACCCCTAGCATGAGCCCAGCTTCTCTGCTGGAGGTGGGCTAGTTCCTTACCATGCCATGGGCCATACAGATGGTAGGGGAGTCCATGGATGGGGGCGCCAGACCACTTGTTCCCCAGCCCAGTCCCCCGTTCCCTGGGACCTTGGGTGGGAGCTGTCTGCCTCCGTCTGTCCGGCTGGGAGGCCGGGATAGGACCGGCCCCTCCCAGCTGCCCAGCCCGGGGCCCCACTCGCTCAGCTGCCCCCACCCCACTGGGCTGCAGGCATGTCCGACTTCAACTACCTGCATAGCAACTGCTTTGAGATCACGGTGGAGCTGGGCTGCGTGAAGTTCCCCCCGGAGGAGGCCCTCTACACCATCTGGCAGCACAACAAGGAGCCGCTGCTGAACTTCATGGAGATGGTGAGCTCTGGGCGCTGTGCCCTGACCCCACCTGGGGCCTGGCGTGGGGAGGGGGGCCCAGACCCGGGCCCTGCGGCGAGCGACCCCCTGGACTGGAACACCGGACGGCGGGGCTCGGCGTCCACGCAGTCACAGTTATACTGCACTTGCTTCGTTGTTAACCGTCTGTGCTCACCGGACCGCTCTCCTCCCCTGGGCCCAGCCTCGGCGTGGCTGGGGGTGCCGGGGGGGCATGCACCAGGGTGCCCAGGGCAGCAGGGGTCTCTGTGAGGGGTGTGCAGGGGCCAGTGAAGCCCAGGGGAGCCCCTGACCCAGCCTTGGAGGCCACAGCTCTCCTTGGAGGAAGGAGGCACCCAGGAGAAGTAGGGGAGGTCATGCCACGGGACAGGGACCCTCTGGCAGAGGGGGTGGCATGGGTTATAATTCAGTGGGGGTGTTTAGACTATCGAGGGTCCCCTGGCTAGAGTGAGGGGTGCAGCCCTGGGAATGGGTGAGCCCTGGCTGGGAGCAGGCCTGGAGGGGACAGCTGGCAGCAGCGTGCGGGGTCGTGAGGCAGGGCCTGGGTGCATCTGCCCCTCAGGCTTGGAAGGGAGGACATGGGCTCCTGGGGGGGGGAGTGGGGCAACAGGATTGAGGGGTGACCCCCTCATCATGGGCTGAGAGCCTCCAGAAATAAGCGTGCCTTGAGTGAGGGGGCCTCAGAGAGCATGTCTAAAGTCACCCCTCACCAGACCCAGAGAACCGAGACTCCCGGTGGTCCAGTGACCGTGTGGGGACCCAGTGAGTGCCGAGGTCCCGCCACCCCTCCCAGCCCTGCCCCGGCCCTCAGGCTCTGCAGCGTGGACCCTCCCCCCCACCGGGGGTGGTGTTCTGAATAGGGTAACACTCGTGCCAGGGACACGGGAACTCAAAACGGAGAGTGATAACGGTGGTTTTGTGAGAAGCCTCTGCTTTGTGTTTCTTCCCGAGCATCTTTAAGAATCATAAAGATGGCGTGTTGCTGCCTCGTCCCAGTGAGGAGCAGGACCGAGGAGAGGAGCAGGACTGCCCGAGGGAGACAGCGAGGGGCTGAGTGCGCATCACGTTACAGTCGGGGCCTCCACCCCCAGCCCCAGCCACGCGGCATGGAATCCTGCCACCAGGCCTGGCTGGGAGATGGGGCCCAACGTTCAGTTGGAGGAACGATGGTGCTGGGGAAGGATCGTGCCGGTCGGGGGTCCCTGGGCTCCCATCGGGGATCACAGGGGCTCTGATATAGCCAGAGGAGGAGACAGAGAGAGAGGGTCAGAGAGTGACTGCGCTGGTCCGATGTCATCGGCCACTGGAACTCAGATCTGCCTGCCCCAAGCCCCAGTTCTGTTGTCGAGGTCCCTCCCTTCTAGAAAGATCAGGACCTTCCTCCCAGCGGGGAGTGAGCCGAGCCTCTGGGTCTGCAGCTGCGGCAATAGGGAGGGAGCAAGGCCCCGGATGACAACTGGACATTGTCAGCGTGGGGTCCTCCTTGGCGGCTGTGCCAGCGACCTTGCTGCTCGGGGCCGGTCAGCATCAATAATGGCTCCCAGCCAGGCCTCCTCGCGCGCCCCGCTTTACGGCCGTCTGGTGGAAATGACTTTTAAGGAGCTTTAAATGGGGCTGGGATCGCTCTGCGGATATTGCATGTGAAGGCTCGGGGCATAAAGATTTAATAGCAAGCGCGATACTGCGGACGGCCGGGCAGCATGTGGCCGAGCCTGGCTGCCCCCCAGGATGGTCCCCAGGACAGCTGCCCGGGCCTTCTGATAAGGATCTGTCTGTCACGTCCACTGAGGCCTTTCCCCAAGTGATCCTGACCAGGCCTGGGGGTGGCGTCCACCCCCGTCTGGTTGAGGTGGCGGGGTGGGGGCACCTCTCCTCCTCTGCCTGAGAGCCTGGCGCGCCTGCTTCTGCAAGACGATGGACATCCGCCTGAGAGCAGGGGCGGACCAGGAGCTCGCTGGAGGTCCTTCCGTGGTTCTGGCCTCTGCTCTCGGGTTAGGGGGCAAGGGAAAAGGCAGACGGTGACATCACAGTGAGATCAGAGCTGGGAGTAGGGAAGCCAGGACTGTGGGTCCCCCAAGGAGGCCCCTGATGTGACCGCTCATCAGGGAGGGCTTCCTGGAGGAAGAGGACTGTGAGCTGTGTCTGGAAAGGGGAGAAGAATAGGTCAGGCGTTGTGAGCAGAGGAAGGGCTGGGATGGAGGCTGGCGTTCCTGGGCAGCCGTGGAGGAGGGCGGGGCAGCCTTCAGGGACAGAACAGCCCCCCAGGCTGAGTTGCCCTTCCCACTCAGGCGTCCTGGCCTCCTCTGACGTGAGGAGGGTCGACCTCTGGTTGCTTCCAGCTGACAGAGCCAGGGTGCTCAGCTTGTTTGTTGCACATTGTTTTAGGAGAACTGTGCAGAGGATCTGGGAGGTGCTTTCTTTGCCAAGTGTGGCTTCCTGGCCTGACGGTAACGTGTGCATGAGCTGCGGGGGCTCTGCTCTGACACCGCCCGTGCTTAGGACCAGCCCCCGAGAGGGTGGGGCTGCCCTGCCTGCAGCTCGTGCGCATTCTTACTGTACTGATTCTTACTGCCCGAGGCGGGCACAGCGACCATCTGATATAGATGGGGAGGGGCGCCGAGACACCCAGGTAGCTTGCCCGAGGTCAGAGAGCCGGTTGGTGCCTGGCCGGGACTGACAACAGGGTCCCAACCTTCGGGCCCGTGTCCTCCCGCTGCCTTCGGGACCCCGGCCACACCGGCCCTTGTTACCCAGGCAGGAGGCTCAGATGTCTTCACAGGTGGGCACGAGGGGTCTGCCGCTCAGGGCTCAGGCGACGTTATCGGCTGGACTCCCCCGAGCTGGCACTGTGGGCCGTTCGCACACGCGGAATGGGGTTGATTGTCACTGGGGGAGGACCCCGGCGGTGGGCTCCTCACTGCTCACCCTCACTTCACAGATGAGGGTTTCCTTGGAGACAGGCTGGGCGGGCTGCCGGGCCCTCAGCGGGTGCGAACCGTATCCCCAGCCTGTCCTTGGTCCGCTCAGGTACACCGGGGCATCAAAGGCATGGTGATGGACAAATTTGGCAAGCCGGTCAAGAACGCCCGGATCTTAGTCAAGGGCATCCGCCACGACATCACCACTGGTGAGCATTTCCTGGGGGCTCCTGCGGGGCTCTGAGTGTGGGCCCCTGCTCCATCCGTCCACTGCTGGCCTGGGGGGAGGGCGGGGCTGGGGGACCCTGGGGGTCCGTGTCCACCTCGAGCTATGTCTCCTTGCAGCTCAATGCCCAGCGGGTAGGGACACACGCAGGTCCCGACTGCTAATGACTGTTGATGTGGAGTCTGCGTTCCTCAAGAAGCGACCTCTGGGCAGACGCCACCATTGTTGAGGGAGCCTGTTAGTTCATATCCCAGAGCTTCTATCCCACTGATAAGCTCTGTGTCCTCGTGGGCTCTGGGTGCCCTCAGGGATTTCACAGCTGGTTTGAAAAATACCCTGTGATGTGTGCTCCTAGAGGAAACAGTCCAGAGAAAGGAGGGCTTGTTAATTGTGTGTGTTGGGGGGGGCGGTGTGTGGAGTGGGATGAACTGTGAAGGCTTCAGAGAGGAGGTGTGCCTAGGCAGGGCTTTGAGGGATGAATAGGAGTTTGACAGAGGGAGGTGGTGGGAAGGACATTCCAGGCCCACACAGAGGCAAGTGCACCCTTGGAGTCTGCTGCCCTCCAGGCGGACGCCCCCTGACCCCCAGTGCCCCCCGTCTCAAGGCTGTGTGAGCCCAGGTCTGAGAGCCGCTCTTCTTCCATGTGTCTGCAGCCCCAGATGGTGACTACTGGAGACTGCTGCCCCCCGGGGCCCACATCGTCATCGCGCAAGCCCCCGGCTACTCCAAGGTCATCAAGAAAGTCATCATCCCCGCCCGGATGAAGAGGGCTGGCCGCGTGGACTTCATTCTCCAGCCACTGAGGACTGGACCCCAGAAGTTCCTTCCCGGGTCCCGGAGGGGTTGGCCCGGAGGGGAGCCCCAGGAGCCCGACCAGGATCCCCTGGGGGCCCGGAGACAGCCCACGACAGGCGGCAGCAAGCCCTGGTGGTGGTCCTACTTCACGTCGCTGGGCCAGCACCAGCCTCGCTGGCTGCTCAAGTACTAGGCTTCCAGGCCCTGCTGGACATGCGGGCCACGTCATCTCCTGCTCTTGATCCGTCTTCCAGAGGCGTCCCATGAAGCCGCCTCCGTCTCATTAAAGTGTTTCTCTTCCCCTCCCACCGCGATGAGAGGCTCTGTGTGCGCGGCCCGGCGTGGCCACTGGAGGGGAGAGGCCCGCCTGTCCTGCCCGCCTCCGGGGTCCCGGACACAGGCGCCTCTGGCGCCCAGGCGGCCATCTCAGGGCGGCCCTGCCAACCCTTCTGTGCTCAGCCCATTCTCAGAAAGGGAGGCCTCGAATCCAGAGGCGCCTCGACGCTATAGATGGAAAGCTGAGGTTCAGCTGGGGACATGATGCCCCGACACATGGAGAGGGTGGTGCCGGGCTGGGAGCTGAGACTCTGGGTCCTTCGGCTGATGGCTGTGTGTCTGGGAGGATGTGGATGCAGGTGGGAGGTGGGGGAAAGCTGGGGGGGAGCCTGGTTGGGGAGCGGGGCATTGTCTGACCCCCCCAGCAGGTGCCAGGGTGATCATAGTCTCCAGGGCAGGTGAGCTGGCAAAAAGTATCGCCCAGCAGTCACCCTCAGAAGCGCCTGACTCCAGCAGGGAGGGTCCCTTCCTGGCTGTGTTCTTGGAGGTCCCTAGTCCCTGGCCTGGGCAAGGATAACCCCACAGAAGTGGGGACTGGTATCCTGCCAGAGCAGTGGCTTCATTTTAGCTGAATATCGTCCTGCCCCCCACCCCCCTGCCCTTGCCCATCAGCATTGTGGGATCACTTCCTCCAGCCTGGACCAAAGCCGACAGGAACAGGCATGCTCCCGGTGCCAGGCGGTGATGATTTCTGTGGGGGGAGGTGTAGGAGGGGGCGCGGGCTTCCTCCCGTCACACAGTCTGGGCCCCGTGCAGCGCTTCACGGTTTGCAAGCGAGGCACGTGTGTGCGTCCTGGGGGTGATCCGGAGCTCTGGCCAAACACCACGGCTCTTGGAGTCCCTCTGCCCCGCATTCAGCCACGTGCCAGCAGTGCCGAAGATCAGCGTTTGTCTGACCCCACTGTGTACCGGGCACCCCATCCTTGCTGCACAGATACGGGTGGCACCAGAGAGCTTGTGTGATGAGTTCAGGACCTTGTGGTGTATGGGTGGTGTCAGCTGAGTCCTCCTGCAGGACCCCGTGCAGGAGTCCCGCTCTTCCCACATCTCTCACTGGCTCCGCTGGTCACGGCCACCTCCTGGGTCGGTCTGAGAGGCGGAGACAGCTCTGCCTGGCGCCCAGTTCACGCTTCAGGCACTGGAGGTGAGGACAAGGGCAGGGAGACTGACATCTGAGAGACACCCCAGCCCCTGACCGATGCCACACCGTCTGCGGACAGCAGAGAACCCGCAGTGGCTCCTCTGTCCTTCAGAGAGCCTGGGAGTGCTCGGCCACACCCTCACCCTCTGGCCTCGCCCTGACCCAGGGTCCCTCCCATCTTTTCAAGTCTCCTGGTTTCTAACGTGGGAAACGGTGTTTGCAAAATGTCAACTCTGCACCCAACTGCTCACTGCCCTCTTCTCCGTGATGGGGTGGGGAGGGCAGTGGGGGCGGTGATCATAGCTTCCAGACCCTGAAGAGGACAGAGCTGAAAATAGGGTTCCTTTGTAGGGGAAGCATAGATGGGTTCATGTGCGTGACTCCAATCCAAGTTCAGGATTACTTGGTCCCCCAGCTACTCCGAGAACCCTGAGTTTCCACAACGATGGGAGAGATAAAATGTGTACTTGTTATAATCAATCCTTTGCTTTATTCCAAATGCATACCCACTAACCTCAGACAACACCACCCCTCCACTGGCCATGTGATGACGGAGAACAGTTTAAGATTTTCCTTTTTTGTCTGTTCCTTTTGTGCTGGGAAATAACCTGTTAAGGATACAAGGTCAGATTATTAGTTTTTACTCATCCTGAGGCCATGCAGCTGAGGGCCAGCAGAGAATGGTTGTGAATCAGTGTCTGGAAAGGCCAAAGACAAATATATCACCGAGAGAAAGCCACAGAAAAAGAGATGTTGAGGACAGACCCAGCGGCCCTGTGTGCAAATACTAGGGGAAAAAACCAAGTAGTGGGAAAAAGCCAAGTAGTAGGAAAAAAATGGAACTAATGATGGATTCGTGATGGCAGACTGAAAGAGCTCATAGGTCCAAGGCAGGACTGATGGAGAAAACACACCAGATATAATCAGATGAAGTTTCTGAACTCTCAGGGAAAAGTGAAAGTCTTGCAAGCTTCCATAGAGGACAAAAAAAATCTTACAAAGAAAAAAGCAGGGACTTCTCTGGTGGTCCAGTGGTGTGCCCCCAGTGCAGGGCGCTTGGGTTCAATTCCTGGCCAGGGAGCCATATCCTGAATGCTGCAACTTAGACCCCACACGTGGCAGCGAAGTTCCCATGTGCTATAGCTAAGATCCAGCACAGCCGTATAAATAAATTTTTAAGAAAGAATGGTGCAGTCATATACATTTTTTAAAAAAGAAAAGGCATCAGATTGTCCTTGGACTTCCCATTTGCTACTCTGAGACACTAGGAGATGTGGGCCAATGTCTACAGAGTGCTAAGTGGCAAGGACCCTGCTTGGCACTCCTGCACCCCAATTATTGCTGTTCAGTCGCTCAGTTGTGTCCGACTCTTTGCGACCCCATGAACCACGGCAAACCAGGCTTTCCTGTCCTTCACCATCTCCTGGAGTTTACTCAAACCCATGTCCATTGAGTTGGTGATGCCATCCAACCATCTCATCCTGTCGTCCCCTTCTCCTCCTGCCCTCAATCCTTCCTAGCAGGAGGGTTTTTTTCAAATGAGTGAATTCTTTGCATCTCATGGCCGAAAGATAGGAGCTTCAGCTTCAACATCAGTCCTTCCAATGACCACCCAGGACTGATCTTCAGGATGGACTGGTTGGATCTCCTTGCAGTCCAAGGGACTCTCAAGAGTCTTCTCCAACACCACAGTTCAAAAGCACCACTTCTTGGGCACTCAGCCTTCTTTATGGTCCAATTCTCACATCCATACATGACTACTAGAAAAACTAAAGCTTTGACTCTATGGACCTTTGCCAGCAAAATGATGTCTATGCTTTTAATACTCTGTCTAGGTTGGTTGGTCATAGCTTTTCTTCTGAGGAGTGAGCGTCTTTTAATTTCATGGCTGCAGTCACTATCTGTGGTGATTTTAGAGCCTTAGAAAATAAAGTTTGTCACTGTTTCCATTGTTTCCCCATCTATTTACCATGAAGTGATGGAACCGAATGCCATGATCTTCATTTTCTGAATGCTGAGTTTTAAGCCAGCTTTTTCACTCTCCTCTTTCACCTTCACCAAGAGGCTCTTTAGTTTCTCTTCACTTTCTGCCACTAGGATGTTATCTTCTGCATGCCTGCGGTTGTTGACATTTCTCCCAGCAATCTTGATATTTCCCCCACAGTGAGTAATTGTACTCAGCCGTGTCCCACTCTTTGCGACATGACACGACATGGATACTTGTAGTCAGTGATCAGAATCATAGCGACGCCCACAGAAAGCTTTCCATGTGCTGGTGCTGCTCAAACTGCTTTACGTGTCTGAGCTTCATCCATCACCTCTCACTGATGAGTATCAGAATCCTCCCTGTTTTACAGGCCCAGAGAGGTTAAGCAACTTACCCACAGTCACACAGCCGGGGTTTGGGGTGGGTCTGTGCTATTTGCCCCTCTTTTACATTCTCTGCAGATAGAATTCATGGGTCACAGAGAAAGAGGCTCCCCGATTTGGGGAGGATCAAGGGAATGCATCACCCACTTGAGACAGAGAGCCCCGACAGAGCGGAGACTGAAAGCAGGGGTCCTGCTGCCGTGGTCACTGTGAGGCCGAAGCCGATGTCGGCTCCATGGGGACCTGGGATTTCAGTGAGAACAAGGGAAACCGAGTAGGTCATCGCAGGGCTAACTCGGTAGCTCCTGGCCGTGAGAGCTGGTCCTGCCTCTCCTGCATGGCGTTGGGGCCCCAGCAGAGGCTCCAAGGGGAGCAGGACTTGCACTTGGGGGTCACTGGTGGGTCTTGCTTTTGTCTGTTAATGCAGAACCAGGAGTTCGATGTGGAGGCAGGAGAAGGAAGGTGACCCCCGGTGGGAAGCGGAGCCCAGATTACTCACAGAAGCTGACTGGGAGAAAGGATGCAGGGTGGACAGCAGCAGAGAGTGGGAAAGGCCAAAGATCCCACAGCGAGGGGAAGAAACAGCACAGAGAACGTGAAAGGCGTGAAATGCAGACACCAACACTGCACCTGGGCTGAGTTCCCTGCTAAAGAGCAGAGACCACCAATCTGGGTTGTAAAAAGGCTGTATGTATTTTATTTCCTTTATTCTTTAAAAAGTTTTTTAATTGAAGTATAGTTGATTTAAAATGATGTGTTAGTTTCAGGTGTACAAAAGAGTGATTCAGCGTCATATGCCCTTGCGTGTGTGTGTGTATACTCTTTTTTTGACATTCTGTTAAAGAGGCATCTTTCAAGTGAGTGGTAAAGAATACTTGAGAATAAAGAGATGTTGAAAGGCTGCCAAGAAATGCAGATAAAAGGAGAGCAAGGGCATCACTTTTAGTCTAGAGAAGGTGGAACTGAAAATCAAAAACATTAAATGGGAAAGAGACATTTTGAAGGATTAAAAGAACAATTTATGAGTAAGATAAAATAATCAAATCTGTATTTTACACTAATCAGCTTAGCAGCTAGCTGTATAAAACCAAGGTATTTAAAAATATAAGAACATAATGAATTCCAACAGGAATTGCAATGTACCATTTCAGAATCAGACCAAGCTAGTAGATGATAAATGAGGAAACCAAGCTTTAGAGAAATGGGATCACATATCAGTAAACACAATCTAACAGATGTATACAAAACACTTCATGCTTCCCGTAGAGATTATATGTTCAAGAGCCGCTGACTGTTAATGAAAATTGATAATGTACTTAGTCACAGAGTAAACCTTTAGAAAAATTCGAAAGGCTGAGATTTTCTCTAGCCATATTCTAGAAAAATTATAACTAATATATAAAATTTTGACAACACCCCCCCCCCCCCCCCCCCCCCNATAACTAAAAAATTGGAAAAGAT